GTGCCCCAAAGAAGCAAGACCAGAAGAACCACAGCTTAGGTTCTTCTGCGGTCTCTGTTCCTTGACATCAGAAGATCTCATCTCAGCGCGGACTGGGAACGAGAATGACGTCAAAAGAAGGTCTGGCCAAGAAAGACCAGTGGATCTGGAACTGCTCCTACCCCAACGAATTTTTCCCAGATGCTGGGATGCACCCGTCCTTCCTGAACTCCCGCCCTCCGCCCCCTTCCCATAACACGCCCCTCTCCCATAACAGCCTCCTATCATACACAGCTTGGTTCATTTTCAGGAAATTAGATCCGACTAACCAAAGTAAGGGGGGCAGTGGGGGACACTCATACATACACATGCTGTCCAAACCCTGCCTTAAAACAAAAGCCTCTTGAAATAATTAATCCAAGATCTGGCAGGAGTCTGCTCTCAAGAATGGATTTTTTTTTCCCTCTCACATTAGTCAGTCATACTCAGAGATAAAGCCAGTCATTATTTTTATTACTTTCCCTTCTCCAGAAACTCTCCAGGCATCAGAACAAACTAGTCAAGTACCATTGGAGGATGTTAGATTTCAAGATTTTGAACTGACTCTCTCAGAAAGACCCTCCTCTCTGGTAGGTTGGATCAGGAATCAGACCCAGAGCCCAAACTATCACCTGAACTGCCAAAAAGCCTCAAATGAGCTAAACTCAGCAACATCACGCCGTCCGGGCGTCAGGCGGTGCCGCCGCCACCACCGAAGCTCCGGGTCAAGCATCTTACTCGGACTTTTAGAACCCCGGAGCACAGCTCCCGCCAGGCCAGGACCCCAGCCCTACACCTCTGGGGTAGCCCGGCGCTGAGATATCGGCAAGGCTTTATTGACTCAATAAAGCGATACTCTTGAACCAGGAGTCTTCCATAGGCACAAGCCACCCTAGCAGCCAGTGGGACGCCAACAAAGACCGAGGGGAAGCGCTCCACGAGCCCAGTTCCGCACGCTGCAATGTATACATATTTAAAATAGCCTGCAAAGTTTCAGGCTGGGGAACTTGAGCTCCCTCTAGGAGATCCTAGCCTGAGTGAGGATTTAATTCTCCTCCGACAGCCACAACAAAGAACGGAGTTTGAGCGCACAAAGGCAGGGGAAGGGGAGAGCTAGCAGAGCGAAGCCGCCACACAAAGGCCGCCGAAGCCCACGGCTCCCACGCCCCCGGTCCGCCACCTGCTCAGAAACCCTCTACGATCTTTCCCAGACCTCTTGAGCCAGACCCTGATTCTTTCGAATTCCGCGCTGTGAAGAGCAAGAGTTGAGTGCGGGGACGACCCTCTCATTTCGTGAGAAACTTAAAAGTACGAGCTGTCGGTTCGATCTTCAACATTGTGCCCCCTCTACAAGTCTCCGGCCAGCCCAGCGTCCGCTCGCCCGCCTGGGGACTCACCGTTACACCACTGGAATGGGTGCATCAATGAACTCTCGGGTGACTTCCTTCAGCAAACGAATATAGGCGACCGGGCAGGTAGGCGGGCTGGCACCGCCGGCTCGCTGATCCGCAGGAGGGGTCGATGCAGTCAGCTGTAATTGCCTTTCCCTCCGAAGTGAGGGGTGTTTGCAAGACCGGTTTTCAGAGCAACAAAGAGGAGGAAACAGAAAGTCCTCTGAGCGCAGCAACTCAGAGGAAACGCACGAATGGCACCTGGGTTGAGGGAGATGCTGAGTGTGGTGGAGTGAGGCAAGGTAGGGGCGCCAAGAGGCTGCAGCTTTCGACCTGCAAAGAGAACAAGCCTTAGCCAAAGGTTTCGCTAAGGTCCCACAGTGCTGTGGTGAGGAACCTGGGACTCTGAAACTGACACCCGACTGTGCACACCCCCCACTTTTACTCTGCACCCGAGAAACCACGCCCTCTGTCCGTCACCCGCCTTTCGACCAATGGGAGTCTTCCTCCTGCCCCCTATCCTTCTTTGAAGCCCCACCCACTTCAAGGGGGGTGGGGACGCTTCTTGGCTTGAAAAGCGTCCACTCCCTTCACCTTCCCAGACTAGGGAAAACTCGAAGGGGAACGCTCCGCAACTAGCGATGCCTGGAGGGCGTGGGGACCGGCCCCCTCTGCGGCGGTTCTGGAGGTAAAGGAACAATTAGTGCCACATTTGTTTTCCTCCACTAGGTCTGTTATTGTTTAGTGTGTCTATAGCTCTTTGAGACGCCAGTTTGGGGGAGTGGTTACACCTCTGTTCCGTGCAGGTGGTGGCTAGCAAATTCCTGTGTTCACTTGCAAAAGGAAGCTGAAGCAAAATGGTAAAAGCTGATGAATTACCAAGTGAAATCGGGAGTGATTTGAAGAGTCATTTTATTTTTTACCAGCCCCTCATTTTACAAACTAGAAACTAAAGACCTGAAGTATAAAATAGATGGTTTGTCAGGTATCCACGCCTTTGACTTTGTTGTTGTTTAAGTTCTGTTCCTACTCATAGCGACCCTGTATAAGGTTTCCGAGGAACAGCTGGTGAGTTTGAACCGCCGACCTTGTGGTTCAAACTGTGGTTCAAAAATGCAGTCAGCTGCAATTGCCTTTCCTGTGGATCCAATGCATTATCCTACATCGCCCCAACCAGGACTCCACGCCTCTGACTTGCATAATCAAAACCAGAACCGACAATATTAATACCTGAAGGGCCAATATTTTTAGCATCTAGCACCACGTGGTTGAAAGAAACACGAACTCTCTTACTGGATTCTTCTTTCCGCCTTTTCTTGTTTTTCCCTCATAAAGTATTCACTGTGTGCCGATTGTGTGTCAAACACTGCTCAGTACACTGGAGGCCTGTCCAAGTCGCTAGAGACAGCAAAGTGGCTCCATGCATAAGAAGGCAGACAATAAAAAAGCAAAGAATGTCTCAATGTTCTTGTTAAGCATCTAATCTTCCTATTAAACTTATTAAAGAAAAGTGATAAACACTACAACTCACAGGAATTTGTGACAAATAAGATTATACATGTGATGTGTTTTATCATTTAAAAATATTTTTAAGGTATCTAGTGACTTGTCCGAAATCATGTGGCAGTTTGGAACAAATAGTTTAGCACTTAATTACTACTTGATTGTCTTAAAACATTTGTTTTCCTACATGTGCTTGCTTAAGAGGGGCATCGTGTATTAGCACACATGAAACCCTGTACAGGATCGCTATTGGTCGGAATCGACTCTACGGCGCTTAACAACAACAACTCATTTCATTCTCCTGATTGGACCATTGCAAAAATTTCCTAACGGGTATTAAGAAAGAGCACTCGCCCGAATTTAAACAAAGTTTATTCTGAGCATATATTCCATATGCATATAGGGATGCCATTTTGATTCCTGAAAAAGCAAATGGCTGGAAGAAGCTAGGTACAATAGGGTTTATCAAAAGGAGAGAAAAATACAATCAGCCCGCTGTATCTCAGGTTCTGCATCTGCACATTCAACCAACTGCAGAAATGAAAATTTGTTGGGACCACGGGGGCCAGAGTCTCCTAAAAAAAGCAATTAAGTGGCAAAACAATTCCTCAAAGGCTAAGAGTGAATATAAAGTGCTTTTTACATAGCATTTGTTGCTGTAGTTTAGTGCCATCGAGTCTGTTCAGACTCATAGCGACCCTATATAGGGTTTCCGAAAAGCGACTGGTGAGCTTGAACCTCTGACCTTGAGGTTCAAACCGGCCTTGCAGTCCAGTACATTAACCCGCAGCACCAGGACTTCTTACATAACATTAGGTATTAACAATAATCTTTGTGGTTGTGAGTACCACTGAGTCAGTTCCTACTCATAGTGACCCTGTATAGGGCTTCCGTGCGTGCAGCAGCTGTTGAGTTTGAGCTGCCGACCTTGTGGTTCACAGTTCAGTATACCAGAGGATGTGCAGAAGAGATATGCAAATAGCATGCCATTTTATATAAGGGACTTGAGCATCTGTGGATTTTAGTATTTGTGGGGTGCCTGAAACCAGTTCCCTGTGGATGCCAAGAGATGACTGTATAGAAGATCAGTCATCCCCTTGGCTACTTTTAATATGATTAATTGAACCCTGCCTTTCTCCCTTTATTGAGATCAACTGATACCAGTTTACCTGTGGCCTAGATGCTAATAATTTGGTCCTTGACCCACCTGCAGCCTAATTAAATTTTTGAAATTTAAATTGGGAGGCACTGGCTTCTTGACAATTCTTTTCTAGCTGTATAAGACATATTTATATAGTAGTGTACTTTCTAAGGAGCTCTGGTAGTGTAGTGGTTTATGAGTTGGGCTGCTAACTGCAAGGTCAGCAGTTCGAATCTACCAGCTGCTCAAGGAAAAAAGATGAGACTTTCTGCTCCTGGGCCTCGGAAACCCTATACAGGATAGCTATGAGTCAGAACTCACTCCACAGCATATCACCACCACCACCACCACCAGAACACTTTCTAGCAGGCTTTTCATGGTTAATATTAAGTTTTGTGAATAAGAAAAACTTTAAAATCAAAATAATAAGGGTCTGTAATTAATTTCCCACCTCAACACCGACCTCTTTGACTCTAACCTCTGCTTCAGATTCAGCAATGGTCTCATCAGGGCTGGTGTCACCCAGTGTGGTAACTCATGGTTTCACCTCCCACCACCATGGACCTCCAACCTTGTGGTTAGTAGTCCAGTGCTGATCCTACAGTGCCACACCAGAACTCAATACAGAATTCTGAATATCTATTATACATTTTCTTCATAGAACCCAGCTTCTCGTATTATTTGCTCAGCATACAGGTTGAATAAGTATGATGAAAGAACACAACCTTGTCACACACCTTTCCCAATTTTAAAGCATTCAGTGTTCCCATGCTCTGTTTGAACAACTGCTTCTTGGTCCAGGTACAGATTCCTCAGAAGTACAATTAAATGTTCTGGAATACTCATACTTCTCAATGTTGTCCATAGCTTGTCATTATCCACACAATCGAAAGACTTTGCGTAGTCAATAAAGCATAGGTAAACACCTTTCTGATGTTCTCTGCTTTCGGCCAAGATCCACCGGACATCAGCAATGATACCTCTCATTCCCCGGCCTTTTCTGAATCCAGCTTGAACCTCTGGCAAGTTCTCTGTCAATGTATGATTGTAGCCGTTTCTGTATTACCTTTAGCAAAACTTTACTCGCTTGAGATATCAAAGAGATTGTCTGATGATTTCCGCATTCCATTGGCTCACCTCTCTTTGGAATGGGCA